ATTTCAGAATAACAATGATAGAAAAAACTACCAGAAAGTATCTAGAGACAGAAACCAAGTTACTTATAAGGACAAAGACACAGAGGGCATTCGATTTCTTAAAATCAGGCCTAAGAAGCTAGAAATCAATAAAGTAATCATTTTTAAAATGTGGATGAAAATTATCTACCACCTGACAATTATTCAAATTATCAATCACGTATAAAGGTGGAAAGTTTTCCTAGACATTTTGACATCAATGAAAGACATTTTGACATCAATGAAAGATATGTTCAGGCAGGCATTATTAGCTCAAAAAGGTTCTTTTCCATGCATTTTTTTTCTCAGAAAGCGACCAGAAAATGTGCTCCTGCAAAACAAGATTATAAATTGAGAATGATGATGACATGAGATCCAGAAAACAAAGGTGCCAGCAGAGAAAGTCAAGGGGAGGCGAGATGGAAGGAGAGCTCTGGGGTTGGATGGCAGAGCGAGACCAAGGGGCAAAAACAGTGTGCACCCAGGAAAAAAGTAAGACTAGGAGGTAAACTGAAAAGGCAACTGTTAACTTCAGGAAAAATGAAGAACCATACAAGAAAGGAAGTGAAGTCGTATTACATCATTTGACCAGCAGGGACTATTTACACAGTTAAAATATAAATCTTGACTCTCAAATGAGCCAAAGGCTGTCGTTACCAATGGCATGCAAGGAAAGAAGTGGGGACTCTACCATGGTTAATAAATAATGCCTACGTTGCAAAATCAAGAACTAGCTATGAATAAATTATTTACGAATATGAAAGTAAATAGGCAAAACAGTGAAACAGAGGACTGAAGGGAACTACTTTATGCCTTTAGTGCTATTTTTGAAACCGCTTCTTTTGTTAAAAACACTTGAGAAGGGGTGCCTGGGTGGCTCAATCAGTTAAGCAGCTGACTCTCGATTTCGGCTCAGGTCATGATCTCATGGTTTGTGGATTCCAGCCCCACATCAGGCTCTGTGCTGACGGCGCAGAGCCTGCTTTGGATCCTTTCTCCTTCTCTCCCTGGCATGCTCTCCCTCCCTCTCTCTCAAAAGTAAACTTAAAAAA